AGAGAATGTTATATATCCAGTTTTATTGTATATATAGCGAGGTAGCGCGCGTTGATTTTCGAAACGTCCGACGTGGATTCTATACTCACATTGAGCGTGGAAAAACACCAACACGCAACAATTTCCTTTGATGGTCTCCTGAAAATTCGTCTCGTCCAGTGTCCGCACGTGACTTCCGCCCGGCACGTTTTGCCACCCAACGTTTTTGCTGTCGTCGTCGTCTTCGCCTCCGGTCGCTGATGGCCGAGATGACGACGCTGCTAAAATTGTAAGCAATAAGCCCTGAAAAAAACACACATTATTTCATTTCGCAAATGAACGTCAGACGGTGATTGGTCTGCGGCTGTCGGARGGTAAACCAATATTTTGATACCGATGGCCATTATTAGGAGGATGTAGGACTTTTGCGTAAAGAAAATATATCAACCGTATTATAAATTAGGCTGAACCACTTCGAAAGAATTTAATATCGAGGACGATTTTACTATATATACTGCAGCAGTCGAATACCTGCAACCCGCTGAAATCTATTGCGAAMAAWATATTATCGTTGCGTGGTAATGCCGTAATCCCAACCACACTAATTATCTACGTTGAAAATGACTCATTTCAACGTCGAAGTATTTTTTATATCATTTCGTTTTGATAATTTTTTACACGCACTGATTACCTATATATAGGTACGCAGATATTATACTATGTGCGATTCTGTACACACTATCGTTGAGTCACCTCTCGGAGTAGTCGGAGTTTTTGTTCGTCTATCTGCATACGTATATATACATAATATGTGTATCACATACAAGAAACTAGTTCCGGAATGTGTTTTACTTTCACAAATACAAATTATTATTATTCGGTGTTTAAGAATATTATAATACATATCTGATAATATTCGTCTTACCGTCCAGATTATTATCGATCATTCTCGAGAGAACGGCAACGTCATTAAAACCGGAGAGATGTGTATATGATGAACATCGGGTTGTCTATATAGATTCCGATTCTGTCATAATGTTTTAATATTAATTATGTTCTATGCTATTTTATTAATAAGATATATTGTGTTGTCTTGGTGCGGTCATAATGCTCTATCTCAAGACCAGAGCAACAGCTATTTCTAATAACCATCAGTTTGATAGATTCTATTATAATGGAAACATTGTTTAACACTTGTAATATTGCATTGATGAGATTGATTGAACGAGTTTATTGTTTAAAAGTATTGTTCTAGCGATTATGCCTATCACAATGAATGGACCTATAACTGCGATATTTCATTAATCACTTTATTAACTTATTTTTGACTAACCTTTACGGACTAGTCGTTAAAAATATTATGTAGTATGATTATACAATATGCATACGTAGTTAATTAGTGAAGTGGTAAATATTAGTTTTATATTTGCTTAAAATATTACAGAGGTTGACGGGAATTCAAAATGTAATAATTATGTAGAGTCACATTTTTATAAGGTTTTAATAATATATTATAGTTAGGTACACGTCATATTAAAATTGGTCATAATCGTAGTATTGTAATAATAATAATAATAATATATTGGTATAATGTCATCTAAATTGCATCTCTATAAAAACAAATTAATTTCCCTTAATATAACTCCCTGACTATATTTTATACATCTAATAAATAAGTATAACTAGCTCAAAGGTMATTTGAATCTAGAAATTGTTTTTAATAATTATTTAATGAATATATTTATTTTTTTTTTTAGTAATATAATACTTCAATAGTTATACTATTACTAATACTTTTTTTTATAAACTAGAGTGATAAACAATATTATTGTTAATAATAATGATTTTAATGATTTTCATAAATAGTTTTATAATTATTTTGGAGWTGTTATTTTGTGGGTTAAATAAGTGATTGATTAACAAGTGTGCTGTAAAATGTTTTGGAAATAATTATTTTAAAATTGTTTTGTCCTGCGTTTTTAATTGGTGTTTAMAAACCACGAATATGATAAGYAAACTATATGTCTATATTWCACCTATATATTTTTAGTTCCGTTTTTAATTTTCATGTTTTTGACTATACATCAACTTCCCACGTTATATCACAATTTTTTAATTTACAATTATTAACAACATAGAATTGGAACATTTTAAATTCAGCCATAAAACTAGTTTTATAAATATTTCTTTCTTTTTTATACAATTTGGCAAATTAAATATATTTTATTAGTTTATCTGTAGAGTATTAACTTATAGATATAATAAATATTGTATGATCTAATTGTCGAGTATCTCGTAAATCTCATTATCGACAAAACCAAACCTGTATGTAATTATCATCATCATCGTCATCGACAGGRGTATCTGTGGCACTCATGGTTTTTATTGAAAACACCAATCTAGTTTTAATGTACCAATGTTAGGATTTAATGTAATAAAATCAAGAGAATTTTTATAGTGTACTACAACAGTATTGTCGCCTATAGTCACCACAAAATAATGATAAACGAAGTTAAAAAAAAAAACTGTAACGTTGGATACCGTAGATCGTTCCCCTCTACTTAATCGATGAAAACCGTATTGATTGATTTTGTTTTAATGGTAAATATAGTGATGATAAACATCTATCAAATTAGTTATTAAAAAAAAATAAACCTTACACTCTATTAATCGTTGACACACTGTTTATATCTACTGGTCGAATTCTATGACATGTCTTATTATTTGTTCATAAATGCAATAAGATATCTCTAGTTTGAGCTATCAATATCTAGTGATGATGWTAACGTACATGTTTAGACTTGCTAAGTGCGATAAATCAAACTAACGCTAATTATCATAGAGTAGTGACAAAGTTATTGTTATGGCATAATGTTAAGCCTAAGCGCTTATTTAACAATTAGGTCGTGAGAAAGTCCACGTCTAAGGCGGCGATGAAGCGGTGGTCCTATGTTGGGTTGATAGTGCATTGATCCTGTCAACTTCTGATTAATGGTACCTATGTAATTACGTTCAATATTATGTCTCTCATAATCACTGTACATTGTTCCGGTGTTTTATGAATTTACAAAAACGGTGAGATGAACTGTCATCCCGAAAGTAGACAGTTTTTCGTTTGCTTATGGATAATCTTCAAATAACAACTGTCAATCGACATATACATCGCGTTATGTACTTAACTTTTATTTATAGTAGGTACTATGTTCAAATTAAAACAATTAATACAAAAGAATTATAATTTTATAGGAGTTTTTAATTTTTTAATTTGACTTTTACCATATAATATTATTGCTCTACAATTAAAGTTATAACAAGAGATGCATAATATAGTTCGTGATAAATAAAATATACAAACTTAATGTAGGTAGATGTTAATAAAGTATTAAAGTAACACATGTACGTTAAATTATTTGAATAAAGTGATTTAAGATAGATAATAATATAAAATGTTGAAACTAATAAATTATAAGTTATAACGATAGGTTTTGAAACATATAAAAATTAATTCCAATCAATATACATAATTTGTAAATGTATTTCGAGGTAAATTGAAAGGGTTGGTTATAAAAACAATATTATAATATGTATTAATATTCCATGGTTGATTATAACAGATCCGAGGAGTAGTACAAAACAGTAGTTAAATTCTGAATTCAATAAACCCAAATACAGTAAACATAGTAACGAATTTAACTAAGTGTATTTTGATAGAATTTAAATGCGCTTAAATGAACACACAACAAATCATGTACCTGAATATTGTTCTGCTTCGTGTGCATAATAATTATGAATAATGTACTTATAGACTGTACATGCATCGTATTGGAATGTGTATTCGAACCCATAATTCAAAATTAAAAAATATATTTTATATTTACCAAAACAACTAGTGATTTATTATTTAAGACACAATTTCGGCTATAGATTTTAACAGTAAAATTTTACATATTATAGTGATTTACGTCGTTATCGATTATCAAAATAATAATATAAACGTTAATATAGGATGCACTTTAATTGCACTAACGAATATCAATGTACATGCAGCATACCATGTGATAGYGGTGTATAATATTTTGATAATATTATCACACAGCACCTGCTATTACTATCTAAAAATAACATTTATAAAATTCGATGTTAAATATTACAATACTCAACATTAAATTACTAACGTATTACCATTACTTTAAATACAAATTTAATCATTTGATCCAACTATTCGAGTATGAGTAAGATCAGAATAAAATTGTTTGATTTAATTCAGTATAGCTACCTACAAATAATCGATTCTTCTTTGTGACCGTATTATAATAAAACATCACCGTATCAATATGCAAATTAATCTTGTTATACCATTGAGAAGAATATAAGATGTTATACCCATTATTATATGCATATTCAAAGTAAAAAATACCTTGGAAGGATATCCATTATTATATACTTGTAAGATGCTGCAAACATGAATAGTTATTAAATTTTAATGTATTTTATCTTTAGCCTCAGAGAAAGCTGTAATAATGTTATACTATGTTTAGAAATGTCTTTCCTTACCATTACTAATTTGTTAGTGAGACCGTTGCACATTATTCGGCAGATTCACTATATTTTGTCATAACTGCGATATAACATCTTGAGAATTGCATAACAATTGTAAACAAATTTAAATCATCGTCAAATTCCATACTATTTTATAGGCACAAATAGTTCGAATACTTGCAGAGGAGTGCAATAACAGGTCAACGTTTAAAAGTTGTTAATGATGTTCATACATACGGTGGGGGCGTCAAAATAATTTAAATATAATACCTATACATGAACATTGAGGACTCTATAATGTTCATAATAATATACAAGGTCTTCAAGTTTTGTGATAGAAATAGTTGACAGCGAGAAATCAGTTAGTGACCACTGTTTTTTGTTTCACACAATTGTAAAGACTTTATCATAATATATGTGTTGCTGTGTAAGAAGTATAATTAACTATACACAGTGATGTATTAGTAAAGATGATTTCGAGAGAAAAAATATAATAATAAAATTGATCGAAATTCGGCCATAATATGCATCATCAGTGGATTAAAATATATCAAGTTCGTAATAATGTTGATTATTAAATCAGTATTTATCAAACATATTTTATCAATAAACAATACAATAATTAATATTATTTGATTAGTTATGAATGATGAAWGATCTATAAACGTACTTATAACATTGATTTAAGTTAAATATAATAGTAAATTAAGACAATTTAGTTAAATTATGTCAAACACTGTCCAAAATAGGGAACAGCCGACAACCGGGTAAATAAGAGAACAGAATAATATTGCATAAGTACAATATGTATTTGCATTACTAAGATAATGTCTGACTACATTCACTAGAAACTATATATAACTGATGTAGGTTCTAAAGTAAATTTATTTAGTTACATAGACCGACATATTGATTACCATTCGTAATCACAATTTTAAAATTTTCGAACAAAATGTTAGTTTACAGGTACCAGAACGATTGCCATATTGTATAGGTATAGACAGAAAATGTTTATAATATACCTACAATTGTTTTGACGATGGGATGTTTTTAATTTCAAGTGGATTGCAGAAGTTATTAGTTTAACGATGTGTTTTTTTCTTCAAAAGAAGTAGTTTCAAATAGACAAACGTTAAAAAAAAAAGATAGCAAGCTTGCCTACTCATATACGTAATTCTATGAAAATGTTAAGATCGCCAAATTCATAACTTTTCACGATCATCAACAACTTTTAACTACCTATTTATCTCGTAATATTACAGTGAAGGTAGTAATATTGAATCAAGGGACGTGTTAGGTGAACATAAATAGTAGGGAATTCTAAAATTTAAATTACCTATCATTATATTGTTACAATGTGTATAAATTAAAATCAATTCATTTTTTTTTAACTAAAAAAAAAAGCAACCATTACTCAACTTGTAAATATAATATTCATTAGTGATATATTTATCATTATAAATATGTAGGTGTTTATTTGAAAACTTGAAGTTTTTATAAACACACTTTAACGTAACCACTCTTATTTTATAATTTAAGCGGATATTTAAGTGATCTTTGTAATGATTTTATTCATATTTCGTTCGTTTATTAATGGTTATATAGGTTTAACACGTGTAAAGCTTTTAAMATTTCTAAGATTAAGAATTCGACACTGAAAACTATCAAAGCTACTTTCAGCATGATGATCTGCTATAAAACATTTAAGTAAAAACTGATTGAAACATGATTTCAAACATTAAAAATTATATAAATGCAATAATAATTTATCTACCTGTGTAATCATTCAAGTGATATGTATATAATATGTGTTAAATAAATGGAAAAAAAGTATAACAATTTATCATTTTAAAATAACTGTTAACAATTTTCTTTAAAAAAACTTCATTTCGTGCGTAAAAATACGATTTTGAATTTGATTAGATCCAAGATCTTTTTTTTTCCAAAAGCCTACGCCTATTATGCTTATGCAATTATTTACTTAAATTATTATTTAAACTGTCACGATTACAACACTGTCGTACAACTACGACACAACTATCACTCGATTGTGAACCTGRCTTGATAAATTGTGGTGATATCGGCAACTACATCTCTATTATCCACATCTCGTGTAGAATATTGAATAAATGTGCTATATATTATGTACTATAATATTATATTCGAATATAACCGCAACGGAATAATTACCGCATTGCATTTCGGAACGAACCTACTCGCGTCATCGCCAATCATCAGCAGTCACGTATATCATTCACGGTTCGGAATAAATTGTCTTTACCGGCGTATATATCAATATATAGTATCTATTACATTTCTACACATATAAATATAATATTAATCTAAATATTTCCCATGTACGATATATACATATATTATATATGTATGTTTAGAGGACGTGTTGAAACGATACGAAAGTGTGCGGCTGGAGTAACACGTTTACCACAGCACCACCGTTTTGGACCCCGCGACCACAGTAATAATATGATAACAAGATAAAAGTACTGTTCAAATATTTTTTTAAATCGATAGGTATTACATACTGTTGCATGTATAATACTATTATTATTATTATTATGAATTATAATGAAATGACTACGTAAATTCATAATATCATTGCAAACAATATGAACATTATCATTTCGCACCAGTTCCATTATGGTTGCAGCGACCGCAGATTCTGTCCAATTAACATTTAATAATAATAAATATGCACACACACACACACACACACACACACATTACTATATCATTATATATAGTTGGCTTTCCACGTAGCCGGTGCACCGTCTGAATACTACGAGTGAAATTTCCCGACGATGTTTAGCGAAGTAGGTT